CGTCCAAGTGCACCACTCCAATTCCGCTTTAACCAGCGTCCGAAACACAAGTTTTTAAATTTTCAACTCTACGATATACAATCCACAATACTCATACTCAACCTCATAAATTAATTAATTTAATTAATTCAATTAATTAATTCGTTAAATTCATTAAATCCATCCAATTCATCAAATTCAGCAAATCACAACCTCTTACAAGCTACATATGGTTGCAATAGTAATCCTAGCTAGCCAGTAAGCTTAGTATTCGTAGTAATCGTAGTAATCTTAGCTAACCAGACAAATAAATAATGTGGCATGACAAAAACACAAAACACAAAATACAAGACACAAGCATATATATCCGTATACTCTTTTATATTTATACAACAGGATTATAGTACTATATTACCATATTAGTATATCACTGTATTATTGTATTATTGTATAATGTGTTATGTGGGCCAGGAGGTGATACGGCATTGCCATTAATTTAGATAGCTATTTTGATTGAAAATCGGCGAAAGGAAATGCAGAGGCAGGAAAGGTAGGAAAACCAGAGTAAGGAAAGGAAGATAGGATAAGGCAAGGGTAGGAGAAAGAGGGAAGCAAAGGAAGGGAGAGGAGTGAGAAGGGCTAGGCAAGGTTACAAGGAAAGGTAAAAAAGGTGCAGGGACAGTCGAGAATAGGTAGAGACAGTGGTAAGAAGTGTGAGAACGACAGTGAAAAGTGAGCATAGTGAGCAGAAGATTAATTGGAAATAGCAGGGAGATAAAATAGAAGAAGGTAAGTGCACTACAAACAATTGTTAAATATTAGCAGAAACACTATATTAAATAGAGACACATAAGGTAAGGTGACGACAAGACAAGTTAAGCAGCTAATAAACAAAATAACCAGATTAATTTAGAATTACTAAGAGGACTGAGGAAGCAAACGAAGATTAAAATTCCAATTCCGCGAAGATTAAAATTCCAAAATTCCAATTTCGGGCCTAACTCAGGCTAGGAGCATACACATTATAAAATCACGGACACAGAAATTTACAAGATTTATAAGGTTTATGAGGTTTATAAAATTTATAAAATTTATAAAGTTTATAAAGCTTATAAAAATTTATAAAATATATACAATTTATACAAACTAATACATAGACTTATACTTCTACTTAGGGTCGCACTTGCACTTATACATACACTTTTACACTTATATAGTTTTTATCAATTTACTTTATCTATCTCAGTCTCCAGTCCTTCAGGATGCTTACCAAAATTTAATTGATTTAATTAGATTAATGAAGTTAATCTAAGTCGAATTAATTAAATTAAATTAATTAAAAAACATCATACATGTAGATTCACTATTCTTCCTTTCCTCATTCCGGCATTTCTCTTTCTGGCTGACATTCCTCCTTTTGGCTGACTTTCCTTCTCTTTTGCCATGCTATGATAATATCTGTACTTACACGCTTCTGCGCGCGCCCTCTCTCTCTCCTCTTTTGCAGACGAAATGGAAATGTTTGCTAAAGTCAAAGGGTCCAAAACACCGGGCAGGGATGTGGCAGACATGATGGAGAGGATCCGCGAACAGATAAACGGGAGACTTGAGGACAGCGAGCGGGCCCGAAAGGAGAGAGAAGAAGGAGAAAAGAAGCATAGCGGAGCCAAGGGAAAAGGGAAAAAGAGGACAAGACAAGAGGACCAGGGTAAAGGAAACAAGGGAAAAGCGAAAGAACGGAGGATATGGAAAGATGAGGATGAAGAGGATCTAAACAAAACATTAATGGAGGCAGCGGAGGCGGTAGAGGAAGCGGAGGCGTCCATGAGCGAGTTTGATCAGATTTTCAGGTGGGAAGAAGATAGCTCGCAGGATCTGCCACGCCCAAGCAGCAGCTCTACGCCGACACTAAGGGGAGAAGGTATCAAGGAAACTGGAGGAAGGAGGAGCAGCAAAGGCGGAGACAACGAGGAGAACACAGTAAGAGGCAAGAAGAGGAGCAGCATACCGATGGCGACGGAGGAGGAGAGACTCGAGCAAGAAACCGGAAAAGTCAAGATAAGGCAGGTCGAAATATTACAGCCGGTAGTTAAGGTCATGCGGCTACAAACTGACGAAGCTAGGGGTAGTAAGATGGAAGCTGTAGGCAAGGGAGAAGAAGAGACAGGGACGGGAGCGAAGCAGGAGGAGGAGCAAAAGCTCATAAGATTGATTAGGGAAATGAGGGCCAACTTCGAAAAAGACAAGGAGGCCAGGGGTAAACGGAGCGAGGAGAAACGGGGGGATGATGACGAAAACAGAAAACGGGACGAAGACAGGGAAATCAGAGAGGGGAAGAAGCAGAAAGAAGGAGGAAAGGATGTGAAGAAGGAAAGGGGGACAAGAAGGGAAGGAAAGGGGGGAACAGAGGAGAAGAAGTTATACTTATTAAGTATCCCAGAGAAGATATAGGATATTGGGGAGCGGTCAAATGGCTGAAGACGGTGGTAGGAGAGTATTCGGAGAATTTCCAGGAGATAAGGGATACAAGGAAAGGGGACATTCTTATAGCAATAAAGAACGGTA